CATAGGGAAACAGTTATATTTGGTGCAGCCTTGTTGTATGATGAGACCGCCGAATCGTTTGTTTGGTTGTTTCAAAATTTTCTTGAGGCTATGTCAGGAAAGGCACCGAAAACGTTGTTCACTGATCAAGATGCTGCAATAGCTAAAGCCATACCCATCGTTATACCTGAAACAAGTCATCGTTTGCGTATTTGGCATTTGATGCAAAATGCATTAAAACATGTTAATTGTTTGTTCCAAGATAAAGGGGTAAAGGGTGTATTAAATAAGTTATTCTTTGACATTGAAGATGCAAATCAATGGAAGTTAGAGTGGGCGGAAATGCTTGATAAATATGATGTGCATGAAAACCATTGGTTGAAATTGACTTTTGCGGTGAAAGAAAAATAGGGTTGGCCATATGTTAGATCAACATGGGTTGCGGGAATGAGTATCACACAACTGAGTGAACCTTTTAATGCTTTTTTGAAGGATTACATTCGTTTTGATTTAAACTTAAATGAATTCTTCATGCATTTCGAAAAGGGTACTTTACGAGAAGCGATACAAGGAGTTAAAAGCAGGATATGCTTTGTGCCAAAGGTTGCCAAAGGTGAAAGCAACAATAAGAATGTTAATTCAAATAGGCAATGTTTACACAAAAAAGATATTTGAAGAATTTCAAAATGAGTACTTTCGATCAATTGAATCGGACATAGAAGCAATTGAATATGGCGAGGCTAGTACCATTTACACAGTTGTTGATGTTGGTAACAAACATGCAAGGAAAGTGAAGATGGAGAGGGATGGGTCATTGCCTTGTAATTGTACAAAGTTTGAAAGGGAAGGAATCTTGTGTTGTCACTCATTGAAGGTTATTAGAGACATATTGAAGATGAAAGAGGTTCCTCCACAATACATTCTAAAGAGGTGGACGAAACAAGCAAGAGTCGAAACTGTGAAGGACATTAAGGGAAATGACATTCAAGTGGATGTGAAATTCCAACAAGCCTTGCGGTATAAGACATTGATGACCGCATTTAGAGCACTAGCAAGTAGAGCTGCTGAAACTTATGATTTTTGTATTGCACACCTTGCTACATTAGGTGCAAATGTTGAAGGCAAGTTAGGTGCTCTTTTTGGTGTTGGAAATGAAGTAAGTAATGATCATGACACCCAAAGCTTTGAAGTGGACTGTGAAGATGTGAATCATGCTGTGCAACCAAAAGCATTGAAGAAAAAACTGGCAACTAGTAAGGGCAAGAGGAGGGTAAAAGGCGGATTCGAAGCGGCGTTGATAGCGAACTAAAAAAAAAAAAAACCGTGCTAACAGCTTGGCTTCGTCACAATCTATTGCAAGTCCAACAATTGCACCTTCTCCATTATCTGTTGGAGGAGCTATTTATGTTCGTCAACATGTTCCTCCTCTTCAACCTCTTCATTCCCTTCATCCTTTTCCTTCATCTTTGCCCATGGGTGGTAATTCTATTCCTCTGTCATTGATGAATCCCACATATCATGTAAGTGTTAGTACAATGTATGTATTTTTTTTTATGGATATAATATGTGACTCAACAGTAGCCTAATGTATGACATTGTTCTTTGCCAATTTGCAGGACATGTATGTAGTGCATAATTATTTGCCAAATTCAATGCCTCAACGGTATCCTACTGAACAACATTTCAGTCACTACTTCAAGGTTCATATGGATATGACATTGGGTTTTGATATTCTCAAGAATCAAACAGTCCAATGTGGAGTTAGGTTTGTCCTTGCTCTCTTTTTCATTTGTAGTTGTTTAAAATTCTAGATTTTGAGTTGCTGAAAATTCTATTTGAAGTATGTGTTTAGTTGTTGAAAACTACAATAAATTTTTTTTTTTCAATTAAATTCTGTGTTTGTGAATTTCAGGCTATGGACAAGCACAAAGACAAGCAAACTGAAGATGAAAATGGCATGCAAAGTGAAATGATACCATCTCAAATTGTGAAGCAAACTCATGCTGAATTGCTACACAAATTCTGATTTTGCTGACAAGTGAACTAATGGCCTTTATGTGTGTTGAAATGCCTTGCTGGGTGGAAAGTGATGTTGAAATTGCTGTTCAAACTCCACTCCAATGTCTGTTGAAATTGTGTTAAGCATGTGTGTTCAAACTAGTACTGTATGTGTGTTGAAATTCTGATTGTGTTTAATGAGAATGATTGTGTTTTCAAATGGATTCTGTTAATGGCTTGTAAAATCTTTTAATGGCTTGTACCTGTATGTATGTGTTAATGGCTTGTTGATTGTTGGGAATGGTTTTGGCCTAGTCTGGTCTGGTTCTGGTCTGCATGTGCTAGTCTGGTCTGGTCTGAATCTGCTGGTTCTGGCCTAGTCTGGTCTGGTTCTGGTCTGCTCTGGTCTGCATGTGCTAGTATGGTCTGGTCTGGTTCTGGTCGGGTGTGGTCTGCATCTGCTAGTTTGGTCTAGTCTGGGCTGGGCTGAATCTGCTATAGTTCAACACACCCCTTGATAGAATTCAAAATAGTATCAGATAACACTCAAATGGCTTCTCATTGTGTTTTCAAATGGCATATATGGTTGGTAATAGATAACAGTTTTGGCACTCACTAAATAAGTTGTGGCATAAAACAAATAGTAATGCTGCAATGCTGGATCTGCTGCTGGCATAAAACACATGGTTGGTAGCATATAACAGGTTCATGGTTCTGCTAGAGCTTCATTCCATCATTCATTGAACACAGATAACAGATATGCTGGATCTACTGCTGTCATACTCAGAATTCCATTCATTCATTCATTCCAAAATGTGACTACTAAACGAAGAAAATAGCTAGAATTACAAACTTACATATCTTGATGGGCAAACAAAGAACAAACGTCCTTCATTTCCATTCTCATTGGTTTTTACAATACGTATGGCAGCGGTTCTTCCACAATTGCACAGCCTCAGTTGTAATCTTATGTTGCCAATGTTAGAAGAAGAAGCCATTTTTCAAAATCTGCATACATGACCAATTTTTTAACCATGGTAGTTCCATAGAGGAAAAGGGACATTTCAGCTCTGAAATGGTAGTTAAAAAAAAGCCATACTCTGACTTTTGAAATGGTAGTTCAAAAAAAGCCATAGTTTAGATAACCCTTTTAAAATTTGGCAATCTATATAAGACTAATCCAACAGAACAATTTGTCACATTTCAGCTTTGAGGATTACTATGAATTACTTTGAGACTAATCCAAAGAAAGACATACTGTGACTTTTGGCAAAGCAAGGTTCTTTACTTGACAAAGAAAAATGTAATATAATCTGAAGTAATTTTTTTTTACTTTAATTGATTTCTATTTAATCAATTTGAATCTCTGAAATCTAGATTTTCAAATGTAACAGCAGGGTTGAATCTCTGATAAGGGATGTTAAAGATAGCTTAATCTAATTTTCAAATGTAACAGCAGGGTTGAATCTCTAAATTAGGATCAGATAGCTTAACAACAGGGTAGAAAATAAGCAGCAGATTGCTTAATCTAATCAAATTTATATGGTTGAATTAGGATCACTTTAATAAGGTAGAAGAGTCATCCTTGTTGTTCGAAGTTCTTCTAATGGCAACTAGAATCCTTATTTCATTTTCAATTACTTTCCCAACACTTCCTGATTTATGTTCCTATCTTTGTGATTCACTATTTGCAAACTATCTATATTTGTGTGAATAAATGAGTATTTACCTAAACTATCTATGCTGCTTATTTTCTTAATGTACTCTAGTTCCTCCAATCTTCAATGTTGAAACCAATCTGCTTCTTAATGTACTCTAGTTGACTAGCAATCTGTGGCATACTCATTCTTTTGCTACAATGTACGATTTTAAGTGATGGTTCAGGTAAACCAAAATGTGTCATACTCAGATAATTACTTCAACTATCATATTGCCATACTCAGATAATTACTTCAACTATCATTTCAAACACATAACAAACTAATTAACACTGAAAGCCAAATCAAAGGCCAAATCAACACTGATTTTCCTAATTCATGTCAATGTTTCAGAGATTTGAAATCAAAGCCCTAATTTCTCATTCCCAAATCAAAGCCCAAATCAAAGCCCTATTTTCTGTTCGAATCCCTATTCGAATCAAAGCCAAATCAAAGCCCTATTTTCTGTTCCAATCCCAAATCGAAGCACTATTTTCTGTTCGAATTTGAAATCAAAGCCCTAATTTTCAAATTTAAAAGATATTTTCTCAATCTCAATCACTCATTCTTTAACATCTTTATTTCAGAGTTTCGAATACTAACCTGGTTCCCCTATGGTCTCAGAACCTACGTTCCTGGAAGTGGGTCGCCATCTGGGTCGCCGGTGCCGCCGTCTGGGGGACTGGTCGCCGGTGAGCGCGGATTCGGTGAAGGGGGACGGGTGAGTGGGAGGAGTGCAAGGCTGAGTGAAAGTGAGAGTGATTCTCATATGAATGTATAATTATAGCGACGGGCGGGAAGAATCGAAATTTTTATTTATTTATTTTTTTTTTTATCTTGACCGTCGGATGTGCAACGACTGATCTCAGCCATTGCAAGGACGTTCGCAAGTATGACTTGCAAGGAGAGGATCTGAACTCGTGGCGTACATGCTTACGTGGCACAAAGTGACACCACATGCTGCCAACGTGTCACTTTCATTTCAACCATGAAAAGGATATTAGCAGCTAAGACTTCGCTTGGGAGTCTTTATTGAGCCGGCTTACCTCTTTTTGTTTTGAATAAATTATTGATAGATCTTAGATTGTATAATATTATATTTGCCATTCTGGCACATTTCAAACAACGAAAATGATGAAGTGGAGCCAGCCAAGCCGTTTTGAGAGGGCCAGCCAGCCAGCCAGCCACAGGGAAGGCAACCTGTTCGCACGCTACCTACACAAGCCACACGTCCGATCAACACACGATTAGTAACTAACTACTATTTCTTTACTTTCCAACAAACCTATCAAATGAATGGCTTTTCAATTCATTCATTACTCAACACACACACTCTCTCTCTCTCTCTCTCTCTCTCTCTCTCTCTCTCTCTATACCTATTATACCTAATTTTGTACGTATAAAACAAAACAAATAGGGAGAGAGAGAGAGAGAGAGAGGGTGTTTCGAAGACGAAAATGGCGTGGAAGGGCAGTGTGAGAGAACTGAGACATCTGATTCACCTGTTGTTGCCTCTCTTCATTCACTGGATCGCAGAGGAGATGACCGTTTCTGTGCTCGTCGATGTCACCACCAGAGCCCTCTGTCCCGGCGAGTCCACTTGTTCCGAAGTTATTTACATCAACGGCGTTCAGCAGACGGTACTCTCTCTCTCTCTCTCTGTTGCATTCCCTTCGTTTGGTTCCTCGGAATGTGGAACATAAGAAATGAGGAGAATTTTTTTTTCTTTTCCTGATATTTCTGTGCAACCAAACAGAGCTTCAATTTTTTCCTTCCATACTTCTAGAATTGATATTGATCCTTGTATTATTCCTCTCTCTATAGAAATTGTTCTGTATATTATATATATGTATGTATATATATTTGATTGAAATTGGTTGTACGTATCTTCTTAGTGAGCTCGTCCGCCTGTATGCTTAGGAATACGAAATTTCATGAGACACTTATTTGGCTACCGAGAAAATTCTAAGGTTTGAAACTAAGATGGTTTTGGTGACGAAGAGGACCAATGCGAAACTTTCTAATTTCATCCTTTGAGCCACGTTCTTTCTTAATATTGTTTTGTTTTTCAACTTTAATTGTTAACTGACATGGACTTAATTAGATAAATAATTGTAAACAATAGATATCATTTTTTATTTCAAACTCTCCAAAGGAAGTTATTTTTTTAGAATATTATTTTTCATACATCACTTAAATAACAACTGTTTGGAGTTATTGGATGTGTTTAGTTTGGTTTTGAGAGATTAATTTAAAAATAAAAAATTTGAAAAAAGCGTTTAGAAATTTTTTGAGTTTGTTTGGTTGTATATTTTAGAAATAATTTTAGAGTATGAAAATTTATGATAATTTGATATTTTATTATACTTGAGTAGATGCAAATCAGAGAAAAAGTAAAGGAGAAATGAGAGAGAAAAAATGATTGATATGTAGAAAATAAAAAGTGATTTTGATTTTTTTTTAAAATTACCAAAATGAACAAAATTTTAAATTTTTTTTTTTTTAAACTACTCACTCAAAAACAAATCAAACATGGCGATTTTTACAATAGTTGATTCCCATCTTAAAATAAATAAATAAAAATAAGATAAGTAGATGGTTTCTTTCCGGTCGGCTTCCGTGGGCCCTACCTTTTTTAGGAGATGGTTTTCTTCCGGTCGGGTTCAATCTGTTTCGTGGGCCCTACTTTTTTTAGGAGATGGTTTCTTTACGGTCGGCTTCAATCTGTTCCGTGGGCCCTACCTTTTTTATTTTCTGTTTTTACCATATTATAATTACTACAGTAGATTGATGTTTTTTTCAATAGCCTTTAACATAAATGTTTTGGAATTTTAAAACATGAGGGGATATACCCATTGTATGGATGTGATATTTTGATTATTTATTTAGTTTTTATTTTACCCGTGTCACATTATTAGAATTTTTTTTAGAGTTCTAAATTTAGAACCTCTGTCATTATTCTTTTGAATCTTATTTTAAATAAAGATATTTAAAAATATCATTATTCAATTTTAAGGGTAAAGTCGTAATTTGATAAAATATAAATTAATTTGACAAAAATAAATATCAAATTTTTTTTGAATTTTTAAAAATAATTTCTACCTAACAAAGATAAAATTATGTAAAATTGATAAATTTTTTACATATTTATTTATTTATTTTTACTAAATTAATTTTTATTATGTGTTTTGATGATAATCATGTAATGGATGATTATTTTTATTTTCATTAAATTAGTTTATATTTTTTCAAAAGTCAAATATATCAGTTATTTTAATATTATTATTAAATTAATCCATTAAATTCAAAAATCTAAAATTAAAAGCATTTTATATATTAAATATATCGATTATATAAGCCTAGCAACCACATATTACATTATCATTATCCAAATAGATGATAAAAATTAATTTGATAAAATAAATAAATAAATACATAAATGTGTAAAAGATTTATTAATTTTATATAACTCTATCTTTGGTGGATAAAAATAATTTTTAAAAATTGAAAAATATATTTTTAACATTTATTTTTGTCAGATTAATTTATATTTTATTAAATTGACGATTTTGTCCTTAAAATTGAGCAATGGTATTTTAAGTTATCTTTATTTAGAACAAAATTTAAAATTTAAGGTAAAATGCGTCACAATTAAAAGTCAGGGATTAAAGTGATACGAATACGAATGAATCCCAAATTATAGCGGGATTATTAATATAATTTGTCCTTAAATAAAATATAAATATATTTTATTCACATTTTACTTAATTTTTTCATTTCTTTTTCTAAAGTGTCGTTTGGCCATGATTTTTTAGTGGATTTTTTAGATTTTTTTAGTCTAAATTTTTTTTGTTTGTTTGATTTTTTTGTTTGGCTTGACAAATTTTTTTTTTATCATTTTGTAATTTTTGACTTTTTAATTTTGTTTTTTGTTGGTCATTTTATAATTTTTTGGCCTCACATGAAAACCAAACCGGGGCTAAATCCATTCCAGCCGAGTCAATAGCAATCTGATTCTCATTTTCCCAAGTTTCTTTCATATTTTTGTAGTTGATCTTGGTCCTTGTGTACTCTCTCTCATGTCGAAATTGGTGGTCGTATCATCTTAGTGGGATTGCGATTAATTGGAGGATTACATATCTAATGGTTGATCCTCTCTTACTGTTGATCTAGTTAAAAATGTGTTGATAGGTTTATTGAGTTCATTTTAAAATTTATTTTAATAATTTGGATCATTTATTTTTATAAATTTGTTGAAAAAATAATTCATCTAAAGATTTAGATTAATTAAATATCAATAATTATATGATAGGATTACATTAAGGTCATGTTAAGATTGGATTAATAATCTGTAAAATTCACCTAAAGAGTGTTTGGTTGGTGATATGAGTGAGGGGATTAATTATCTCCTTAAGTCTCGTTTAGCAAGTGACTTTTTTAGTCAAAAAGTCAAAAAGTTACGAAAAAGTCAAAAAGTCAACAACCTATACAAAAAGTCAAAGATTCTCTTTTCTCTCTATTTTTTGCACATCTTTTCGTAAAAATTCAAAAAATTATTTCAAATATATTAGTCTTTTTATATCATATTTTAGCAAAAAAATTAAAAAGTTACTAAAAAATTCTGTTCCTAAACGAGACCTTAGATTAGTAATCCCCTTATGTGGTAGGACTAACAAAGCTATGAGAAGGTTGGGATTAGAAATTGAGTGAGGGGATTAGTTAATTTTTAAATAATTTTTAAGTGAAAAATATATTTTTTAGAACAAAAAAATAATAATTATAATATTAAAAAAATATTAAAAATTTAAAAATATTAATACTATTTATAGTATTACGAATTTGGTGGTATACAAATAACACTCTTTATGCTATATCTCTAGCCTAATACTGTGCCTGTTTGGCAGAAATTATTTACAGCTTATTTTAACTTTCAGCTTAATTTAAGCTATTTTGATGTGTTTTGTTTAGCTTATAGCTTATAGCTTTGTGGAAGTCAGAAATCAGCTTATTCTTTGAGTGGGGCAAGAGATGTTTTAAGAATAAGCTAGAAATCAGTTTAAGCTGAAAGTTATAAGCTATAAGCTGTTTAGGCATAAGCTATAAGCACTTTTCCACAGTTCTACCAAACAGGGCTACTATCACACTAATAATCTTTTCACTCAGTCTCGTCGTATTCCTAATCTCCTCCGTCTTATAAAGCCAAACAAACATACCCTAATAGTTGGTTGGCTTTTTTTTTTTTTTTTCAAAATAAATATAATTTAATTTTTTGTATATATTTTTTTAACAAATTAAACAATTTATGTGTAACGTTTACGTTTTCAGTTTATATTTACAAAAATCTTATAAACTGGTTTTTGTTTATTTTTAGAAAAACATAAACTACAAACGCGTTTGGTAATTGACAAAATGTTTAAAAAATTTTGAAAATATAAAAAAGAATGAGAAATGGCAAGTAGCGGCGGAAGACGGTGGTGGAAAGTGGTGACGGTGGGTGGTGGGTAGCTGGTGGTGGTAGGTGGTGGCGGGTGAGTGGTAGTGGTGGGTGGGTAGGTGACGGTGGCAAGTGGTAGCGAGTAGGTGGTGGTGGTGGCAGCAAGTGGATGGCGGATAGCGGGTGGTGGCGGCGGGTGGGTGGCTGGGTGACAGTGGCGGGTGGTACCGAGTGGGTGGTGGTGGCAGGTGGCGGGGGTGGGAAGACGGTGGTGGAAAATGGTAA